TCGCTTCCCCTCTCCCGAAGCTTTCTACATTGTAACTACAGCAATCATGTCAAACGCTATATTACCCACAAGTCGCAACATGCTCTCTACGATCTCGAGGACGGGTGCGAAGAATGCGCAAACTTTCGGGCTTCAATGTCAACGATTATCAACGATTTGCGCTTCGAGAATTCCGAAGGGTGTACAGAATAAAGCTTGCTTGAGCGGAGTGAAGGGATTCAATGGGTCTGCGAGTGCGGGAGTGAAGTGTATGGGATTGGGTGAGGAGAGTGCGGGGAGGAGGGGGTATAAGACGGTGCAGGAACAGAGGTCGAGATATAAATCTGGGGTAGGGAATTTGTTTCTTTTTTTCTGGCTGGGTGGATGGATGGGATTTGAGGGAGGGTGTGGATGGGGGTGGGAGATTGCTCCTGCTTAAGAATATGTGATGTTTCTATTGAATCGTATTTGGAATGTGTTGTTGAGGACGAATAATCGCTAACGTGTTGTATCTGGAACAGCCTTTTTCGTGGACAGCAGGAGTCCTGTTTCTCGGAGCTGGCGCGGGGCTGATTTTCTATTTCCGTTATGAAAAAGCGAGGATGGAGAGGAAGCGGATAGCGGAAGCTGCGAAAGGGGTAGGGAGACCCAAGGTTGGCGGACCGTTTGAGTTGCTCGATCATAAGGGAGGCAAATTCAGTAGTGAGGATATGAAGGGAAAATATAGTTTGGTAGGTTTTAATCTTTCTCCTGCGCAGTCGGATACATGTGGAAGAAGGAATTTGGGAGGAGAGGAAGAAGAGTACTAATGTAATGAATTCAAATAGGTTTACTTCGGCTTTACCCACTGTCCAGATATCTGTCCCGAAGAACTCGACAAAATGGCTCAGATGATCGATCTCATCAACAATTCTCCCACGCGCACCTCCGCTACCCCCGCTCTCCTCCCTATCTTCATCACCTGCGACCCCGCGCGCGATACCCCCGCCGTGCTGGCCACCTATCTTGCGGAATTCCATCCGAGCATCATTGGGCTCACGGGCACGTGGGAACAGATTAAGGATATCTGTAAGAAATATCGAGTTTACTTTTCGACGCCCGAGGGCGTGCAGAAGGGCCAGGATTATTTGGTCGATCATAGTATTTATTTTTACTTGATGGATCCGGAGGGGGATTTTGTCGAGGCGATTGGGAGACAGCATAGTCCGGAGCAGGCGGCGAGGATTATTCAGGAACATGTGGGGGATTGGAAGAGGTGAGGTGAGGTAGTCGGTTGGTTGGTTGGTTGTATGTATGAGTTATATGGATGTAGAAATGATGGGTTTGCGATGGGGTATGCTAGATGTGGGGAAGGGGGTGGAAATGTGTTATGATTAGATGGTTGGTTGGCCTTTAGAGGCCGTGTATATGAATATTTAGCCATGAGTGTAGGGATTAATGAAAAGCGCACGCAGCTCTGTATATGGATCTGGATGATGTGATACTTCTACTGGAAGGTTATGAATGGCTATTGATTGGCCTTTATCTTCTTCTGGAGCATTTTCAATGGCAAGTCGCTATGGTATACTCGGATTAGCTGGGGGGTGTGGGTTTGTATTTGTATTTGTTGGTGTGTATATGTTTGTATATATGTAGTATGTATATATGTATATGTGTATGTGTATGTGTATTGCTTTATTAGATTTTTATATATTACTTTGAAGTGAGAGTTTTCGTTTGGGGAGTCGAAAGTGAATAGAAGAGGGAGGAGAGGGAGGAGAGGAGAGGAGATGAGATAGTGGGGTTTGGTTTGGTTTGGTTTGGTTTGCTTTGCTTTGGTTGGTAGGTTCATTTCTTTTGGGGTTGAAATTGAGGTTTTAGGGTTTATCTTTGAGGGAGGGGGAATGGGGGGTCCTTGCTTTTGGATGGGAGTCTTTCTACCCATTGCCATAGCTAGTTTGCAACCCGAATGCGAGGGACCGAGTCGCAGTTGTTTGCCTAGTATACTTTCGTCTTTTGTTTGCTGTTTCTCAACGAGGCAGTGCAAAGACGTTTCCTGATTGTTCCTGCTTTTTTCCTCATGCTGTTGGCATTCTTGTTATTCGAGCATCCATGGGAGTTGAAACGTCAAGGTGGCTGTGTCATCTTGTGGTTGACTTGAAGGGCACGTTTGTCATTTCTTTTGAACTTTCAGATAACTTTGATCTGAGATGGAATTCACTGCTGCTATCTCATGCTATGCTTGGGGCAGTGAGTCGGCGGTGAGCCGGCAGTGTATTTGCTGTATTCGCACTACTTTTTTCATGGTCATATCTATATAACTTGCTGTGTCGATATTGGTACACTACCTACATATTACACCGTACATACCACGAATCTTCAGAATGGCTACCCTAATTTACCACGCAGTAATCTTCGTACTTTTGATCACGTTCACGCTCGCTCAAGTTCGCATTCCTATCACAAGGAAAATTCATGCTCCACATCCTGCTCTCAATCGTCGTCTCTCTACCCGTGACTCCGTCTCTGCATCTCTTGTCAACGAGTTGACACAAGCGAGCTATGTAATCTCCGTCAAAGTCGGAACTCCGCCTCAGGATGTTGATTTGACTATCGATACAGGAAGCAGCGACACCTGGTTAGTCGCCAATACTGCCGCTTCATGTACTGGTGTTGGATTATCAGGGAAGAATGGATCTGCTCTAGTCTTGTGCGAGACACCATGTAAGTATTTTCATCCTTGTATGGTTTCTTAGCCGCTTCAAAGAATACTGCCAATTTTAATAGCAAAGACGCATCCTCGAGAGCATGGAAGGAAATGTTGAATTTTTGCTGATATGTAATAGACAACCCAAATGCTTCTTCAACCGTAGAGTTGAACATCACGACTGATAAATTCAATATCGAGTATGTGAATGGTGATAAGACCAAAGGACCTTATATAGCCGACACTCTTGTGCTCGGTAATGCCACCATTAAGTCTTTCCAGATGGGTCTCGCCAACGACACAAACATACAAACTGGAGTACTGGGACTTGGTTATCCTATCAACGAGGCCGCTGATACCATGTATCCAAACATCATTGACGAGCTAGTCTCCCAAAATCTTATCGGTACCAGAGCGTATAGTCTCTATTTAGATTCTCAAGACTCGGCTACTGGATCTCTTCTTTTTGGTGCAGTCGATACCACCAAGTTTGTCGGTGAACTAGTGGGCATAGATATAGTACCCCAACCTATCTGGAATGGCTCGGTTCTCTACTCATCATTGTCAGTTGAGCTTGCTGCAGTGGGCATCACAGATCAAGAAGGCAACTCTGTAAACTTGACGACTTCTCGTCAAGTTGTACTTCTGGACTCTGGGAATACGCTTACCATATTACCAACTGAGGTTACGGATGTCATGTTCAAAAAGTTCAACGCCTACGATGATACAAACTCCACTGGCAATATCTACCTCCCTTGTTCACTGCTCAATTCTTCATCCTCTTTAACAGTCGACTATCTGTTCTCTTCCTCTTCCGCTTCTGCTATTATTAAGGTTCCTATATCAGAGCTTGTGTTTCCACTTACAAATCCGACTTACGCACTGTATCCCGAGGATACTCTCCCAGATTTGCCATTTAGCGGCGAAGCATGTGCGTTTGGAATACAATCGACAAACGCGGACTATCATTTGCTTGGAGCTACCTTTTTGAGAAGTGCATATGTGGTCTACGACTTGGATAATAATCAGATTGGACTCGCGCAGGCCAACTTCAAGGGAAATGATGCGGGTGCCAGTTCAAGCAATGAGAATGGAAATGAGCATATTGTGGAGTTGAAAGCAGGAAAATCAATTCCGGCTTTAACTGGCGTTAGTGTGACGAGTTCGGCGGAACCTAGCCCTACCAGTAGCGCTAGCAAGACTTCGAGTACTCCTGCTGACACGGCAAAAGCTACAGCGACTGGAAAGTCTAGTGACGCTGTATCTGTTTTAAGGAATGTAGATTTCAAAGTTCTTGGTATCTTTGTGCTGGGAGGATTAATTTTGAATGGAGCAGTTGTCGCATGATCATTTTGGGCAACACATTGCTGGTTATACAGGGAGAATGAAAAGGGGAAGCAGATTTTTTTCACTGAGAAGTAGTCATAAGATAAACTAGACATAATGAGTGGATAATCCATGCATATAGAAATACAGAGGCCTATCATTCTGCGAAGTAATCTACACACAATGACCATCATTAGCTATTCATAGAAACACAAGAGTCAGAACCATCCCACCTTTGCGCTACTTTATACTATCGAATTCCACTCAGGAAATTCGTGCTAACATGACACAAACACCGCAGAAACTTTATCATGCCCCTCACCATACCCCTCCAATTCCGATTACCTGCATATGCACACCCCGCTTTTGGTGCATGATAGCTCTCCTTTTGTCCACCTGCGCAGAATAGATCTTATTCCTCGCTTCCCATAGGATTGAAGAGACAAGGTTTATATTTCTGCAACCGAGCCTAATGTTCTTCACAAGTAATCTATACGTAGGAGAAAAAAGAGGCCAAAGTGAGCACCTCAGTTTTATATTAAATCAATTAATAAAAACGTTCATGAGGTTTAATAGTATAGAACAGATCCTTTTATTAGTCTTTAGTTATCATACTATTTAAGCTTTTCATTGCTTGAATTGAATTAGAACAATCAGATTTTTGAAAGGTTTCGGCAGTGGCCAATGCCAGTCTGGTTTTTCTCCTGCGAATACCTAGGTAGGTAGTGCTGGCAAATACTCCTCGGTTATATGTATGAATGTTGATGATAATGCCAAGGATTTTCTTGCATAGAATGATGGTATAACTATATAATATCAGAGCAGGAAAATTATTGCAATCGTTTTCGAGCAAAATTGCAAATAAATTCTTTTCTGTGAATTTTACTATAATATTTAGTAACTTTCTTCTTTAGGATATTTTTTTTTTCACAGTTTCGCTTACGGCTCGAATTAAAGCACCGCAGAACGTCACGAAAACGAAGAAAGATACTCAACTGAGAATATCATTATGACTTCTCTCGAAACTCCTAAGGTTGCGCTTATTACAGGGACAAATGGAATCTCAGGATCCGCCTTGTTGAGGCAACTTTCTAAGAATCCGATTTGGTGAGTATCCAATGAGGAGCTATCTTTCAACTTCCAACTGAAATCTTCTCTTGATACCAGGTCCCGTATCATTGCCCTTTCACGCTCGCCACCCTCCAATCTCCCTTCCGATCCCCGCATCGAATTCCATTCTCTCGATCTCACAGGTACTGCTGGTGAAATTGCCGAGGCTTTGAGTGCCAAAGAACTTACAAATGTTACGCATTTCTTTCACTACGCCTACATTCATACCGACTATGACCATCCTAATCACCTAGAAGAGATGACAAAGAATAATGTACCTCTCTTCACCAATACTCTCACTGCTATCGATCTCACTTCTCGTGATACTTGTAAGTATAACGCCCGTTCAAATTGGCTATCCCGTCCAAACGTTGGATTCATTCAAGATATTTACATTGTTTCCATGTCATCCGACGACTCTTTCACACCAACCCTGGCACTCAAAGGCTGACTTTCCTATTGTAGTGCAACGTGTGATTCTTCAAACCGGAGGAAAAAACTACGGTTTACTTACATCCCCACCCGCCTCAGAGCCCCTAACCGAAGATGCTCACCGGGTGACCGATCCTCGTTCCCGTAAGCTTCAACGCCCCACCCCTACCTTTTCTCGACTTCAAGCTCGCATTTCCTCCGAATACACTTGCATCCCACTGAGTCTCATATTCAATTCAACTCTCGATATCCATAACCTCGCTAATGAGTTACTAACTTCTTATCATAGTCCCCAACTTTTACTACCATCAAGAGGATTTTCTCTGGTCACTCTCTGAAGATCGTTCTTGGGATTGGAATATCACAATGCCGTTCTGGATATCAGGATATGTAGGAAAATCCGGAAACAGCTGGGTTACATCCGCAGCCATTTACTTTAGTCTCTGTCAAGCTCTCAACAAACCCGCGATTTTCCCCGGTGGAGAAGATGAGTACTATGGGAAATGGGACAAGGGACAACACTTCAGTACGAGTTGGGTGATTGCAGAATTCACAGAGTGGTTAGCGTTAAATGAAGAGCCGACAGTGAAGAATCAGAAGTTTAATATTGTGGATGATACGATTACCACGTTCCGAGATGTTTGGGAGGGAATTGGAAGGTATTTTGGGGTTGAGACCAAGGTGGAACGGAAGTATGATTTGATGAGTGAAGTGAAAGAAATGGAGAAAGAATGGCCGAAAATTGCAAAAAATTATGGAGTAAGAGAGGATGCATTTGGGATTGTCACATGGGATGCGTTTGTTTATGCGATGAACGCTGGGGAGTGGGGAAGTATTGTTAATATGGATAAAGCAAGTAAAGCGGGGTGGACGAAGAAGGTTGATACTATTAAGGAGATGGAGAAGATATTTGGGGAGATGAAAACCGATGGATGGATTCCGAATGTCTGAGGAGAAATTTGGCCAAGAGATCCTTCGTTGTCTAGATATAAACCTCGTACATTATCTTTTGTTCTTAATTCAAATATTCAGTGCAAAAATCAATGACTTGTCGATTTCCTAAAATGCAAAATTTGCAAATACTTTGACAGTTGAGATAACGTCCTGAGACGCATTACGCGAACTTTGATGTTAGCAACTTCAATTTTCAGTGAATACACTAGAACCTTCAAAAGGCTTGGATAACATTATCCAGATCGACGAGCGGCAAACTACCAGTCAAACTATAATGGCTTTTCATTAATAGCCTGTATGTATATGTCTTGTTGATGATCACATTGAATCCAATGCTTACTAAAGCTGGAATGTTTTACATTGCCCCCTGTTTCTGATTCTTGTCATGCTGAAAATTGATTTCCTTGGTACAATCAATTAAAACATTTGATACACGTATTCAGACACCTTACATATATTGGTTCTTCAAGATTGTAGTATTCCAAACCCAAGCGATTTCCGCGGCTCATACGCCCCCGCGGATTCTTATGGATAAAGTCTTCATCTCTATGGCTTGAGAATGGTATTTCTTTCGACCATCGAGATTCGCAATGAGGGTGCAAGTTGATTTCTTTTTTGATTCCCGGCGTTTCTTCACTGAAAGAAAATTGCACGGAGATGCATTGGGTTAATAGTCCCGACATTGTCTCCCGGGACTTGGATTTGATACAGGCTGATGCTTTCCTTTTGAGCTTCAGTTTCTCAGGGACCATAATTGGTGAACTTGATTCAAGAACTTAACGTATTATGACTCAAAGCGGCAGCAGCAATAACATTGACCGATTAGAACCAGCGCACTCATTTGCAAGCTAAAATCAAAAGACGTCCCCCCAAAAAGAAAAGATTAATTGCATACGTAGGTGAGCGAATGATGCATTGCGGGAACCCGCATTCATGACCCAGCGGTCCGCCGCAACCAGCTCATACTGGATAGAATTCTGTAGTAAAAGCGCTAGCTTCACCAAAAACACATCTCAAAGAGCCAATTAATAGCAAGGATCTCCTTGTTCTCGTCATCGAATACTGCAAAAACAATAAGCTAAATTAAAAATCGCCCTAGTATTGTCGCGGCACTGATCGTTACAAATATTGATCTTGCCATTTCAAAGTATTGCCACCCCTAGCGATGGAAAGGAATTAGTGGTGACCATTCCGCTAGATAGACAAGCTATTGATTAATTCTGTAGGCCTACGTAGCAGAATGCATCCACGTCGTCTTCCCGAATGTCGAAGTTCTGCTAATCAATCTAGTCAATGTGACAAAAGCCCATTTGAGTATGTAGGGAAGCAAGAGTGCACCACTAATGAGAGAACCACTGAAGATCTTGGTTCCACACCACTTTCAACTGGGACGATAAAAGACATTTAGGAAGAAAGACCGATTGAAGACTTCTTAGAAGTTTTGTGTATAATGTAAAGTGCTGAAAAGTAAATCAAATGTATGAGCACGAGCCCTAGCCCAGTTTCATCTGCCACGTGATTTGAGAGAAATCGATGTATGTAGGCTGAGGGAGGAGTGGCGATGAATCTTATTAGTTTCGTGTTGGTTGGCTCAACACTTGTCAATTTGCAGCAGGTACTGAAGCCAGGTACCTAGTATATATACGATACATGGTTAGGAACATAAGGGCATATGCAAGATGAAGACAAAATGCTCCGCACGGCAGCACGTACCCGTTCATGAGAACTCACAGCATTTTCTTTTTTTGGCCGTTTGCTATGTTCCATATATATTGGCCAACGCCTCTAGAATGTCTATACACCTGCCGATTGGCAATCTCACCGCCGTTTCATTGGTACAAAAAACACCTGCGAAAACTTCAGCATCACACAGTGAATAATTGGTGGCCGAGCAAGAGATCCTAATGGACTTCCCAGCCCAGACTTCTATGGCGTTGATGTACCTATAGAATACCTGCAGGTATGAAAGCCCCTTCTGAGTTGTATACTTTGTTTGTATATTTTCCGAGTTCTTATGGCTGTCCATTTTTTGACTGACATTTTCATCTAGGTAGGTCAATATAGCAAGTCCTTGCATAACTTTTCCCGCAATGCAATGTTCCAAGAGATGCTCCAAGTTCCAACGAGAATCCAACATTAATGAATGGCATCAGCGGAACACCAAAACTTTCGAACCGTACTCCGTAAGCAAGTAGCTTGCATTCTCCACTATCCTGTCTCGTTAGCTCCTTATCATCTGCGTCAATACTTCCAATCAAAGTGGATTCACAAGATATGAACGATATCTTGGACAGTGGTCGCTTGTTCTTACCAACATAGTTTAGACATTTGGACATTACATTACCTAGGTAAAGTTCGATGGGGTAAATATCTATAAGGTTAGCCTATTATGCACGCCATTAGATCCGGATTTCAGTGGAGTGCCTTTTTGTGGGGGCTGGCGAATACATCTCACGATACCAACAAAACTACCCAACGAGGAAAGGCTCGATAGGTATGTATCTATTGTAGAACCGATCAATCAACCTGGGTCTACTAATGTTGATTTTGTCCGGATAAATTCAGTACTGGGAAGCTTCCTCACAGGAATGAATTTTTACTGCAAGTGCAGGTATAACCAATCAATTAATCTTGGATATGAGAAGTTTACATGTATACAACACAACCTGTGTGTATTCCTCTTCCGAGTCTCGTTCGGAACGTTTGGTCTTCGGGAAAAGTACCCCAGGAAGCTCGGCTGTAAAGACATTCTGCATGCCAGCATGGCTGGCTCCAAGACTAGCTAGCCACCCCTAGACGAAAATCACACCTTCCTAGTTCTAGGCGATGACACAGTCATCCAATGATAGAAAAGTGGCCTTGCAAATTATCATTTTATCCATTGTCATATGCATTTCACAAGTGGGAGCCGTTTTTATGGCGATAAATTCGTGAACTGAAGAGCGAGTGGAGAATTAGCAAATAAACCACATAGCGGCTGCGTGTTTTTGGAGAGAAGCTTCACATGTCTGTTTCTCAAAGCTTACGACTGTACAGTTGTGTGTCTCGTACAATGTCAACCAGTTACATTCTTCAATTTACCATCGGACAATCGTTCAACTGCGGAAATGAAGAACAAGATCAAATTGAGATTTCGGTCACCGGAACATTATGCCGGGGGGTAGACGTTTATCATGCTGCCGCATCTGCGCTACGAACTCAATTATGCAGACTATACTCACGTTGCACTCAAACTATCTGGACCAGTTATATACTTCATATCTTCTCTACTTCTATACCTTTCCGCAGTTTCCTTTCCTGCAGTTGTCCGGAATTCTTGTCAGAAATCCTTGCTGCATACATATTATGTTTATGCCCCACCCTGGAGCCACACCATAGAATTTGAGCAACTAACAAATACTCGCACACTGCACCTGCACAATGGACTCTATTCCTAGTCTTTTAAATAAAGTTCATGGCATGTCACCGAACATCGTTTCTCATCTCGATCATCATTTCACCACTTGATGAACGATTCTATCAAAGGCAACGACAATGGGTAAAAGGGACGACATATGTTCCTTTCTTGGATATGAAAAGGATAACCCTACGAAAGATCGTCGGAATCTGTTAAAATCTACTTCTGCGTTTTTGGCCGATTACGAAGCTCGCGGGAACAAGGTTTATGGTAGAAAAGCCGAGTCTATTGGAGGTCGGCTGTGTGCTGTGAATTTTCTTGAAGAAGAAGGCAGAGGGGAGAGGTTCTGGCCGCCAGCATCAGATGGAAGCTTGGTTTACGAACAAGCTCGTGATAAAGAAATGTGAGAGAAGATTTGTTTGCTTCTTCTATGCCGCTGTATTCTGAGAATTTCGGTTTCTAGTATCATCGATCATGTAGCCGACCTATTTCTCATCCACGCAAGATCCAACTATAGCAAATTGGTATGTACTACTCTTGTCTAATTTTGTTTTATGAAATCCGGCACATCTGATGGATGGCCTCGCTTCATTTCTGATGATTTGCGAGGATGTTAATTTCCCGTGTGGGAGCTAACGCCACAATCATGCAGCATGCGAAACGGAGGAGCCAAAAACACAATGCTACCTCCCCACCATCAAATGTTAACAATGAACATATTAGCAACAAACCCTCGGCTTTGAGTACACCTGAAGTATTTCCTTCTGTAACACTTTGACCTTCAATTCCAGATACTAATTGTGCGCACAGGAAACGTACTTGGAAGACGAAGAGCCACAATTTACTTATAGTTCGTCTTTAATGACCATCAAGCCAGAATTATGCCTTACACCATGGTTAGATCCGCCAAAAAGATTTGACCGTAACGTGGCTATGCCGTGGGCAGAGCGCATTGACCCCAAAAACCTTCCAGATCCACCGATTCGATTGGGGAAGGATTGGTTGTCACAGGTTGTTCTCTCAAATGCCAAATTTTCATGAAAGCTAACTTGAGCTTAGAAGAGTGTACAATGGCCCAGTGCAGTTGATAAGGAAATCCAGTACTTTATGCATAGATGGTTGTTTTACTACACAAATGAATTAGAGAATGGCACAGATGATGGAATTCAAAGTCTCGTGAGTCTCTTGAGGAAGAAAGAGGGTACAAGTGCGGAGCTCGACGGCACACAACTTCAAGAATTCAGAAGGCGAATTATCGATAGAGTGAGACATTGGACAGAGACATTCATCAATCATCAGTTTGTCGAATTACAAGCCGACGGCGTTCCTCAGATGACCGCAAGATTTCGCGCAATATGGACAACCCTAAAATATGACACACCTACTCCCCGCGTCAGTAATCGAAGACGAAGTGTTGAAGAAGAAACGCCGCCAGAGACCCATCGCAAGCGACGAAAACTTTCAAAGAAATCTGAAGAAAATGCGCTGGATGGTAGTAGATCAAAGAGAAAACCTTGGACCGAGAATGCATGGCGACGCAAGACAATTCCACCTCCCGCGGACATGACTTTCCCAAATCTGATATCGAGAAAAAGCTCTATTATCGATCCCGTGACGGTGGTGGTGACACCCCGGGCCAGTGTTAACGAGGAAGACAGTGATGAAGAGAGGTTTCAAAAGTGTGAAGTACATAAAGGGTCTGAGGTATGATTTAAATTATAGCAAATTCTGTTTCAATTTTCATTGCCGTCACTGATCATATTTAGCATACGATACGAAACTCAAAAATTTCCGTCGAGATACCTTCACCTTACAAAGTTACATCTAGCAAAGCTGATGTATTCATCAAGATGGAAGAGGAATCTACTATAGAGGTGTCACAGCTAGGGACGACGGTCATCGAAGTATCGGACGATGAGCGATCCAGCGAAGCAACAAAGTTAGTAGTACCTACTCAAGGGGCAGTCATCAAATCCCCATCACCAAATCCAGATGATACTATGGCACTTGAGACAACGCCTCCACATGTTCAGGACGGCATGAAAGGGCCCGAAGCCAAGTTGATTCTTTCACATCAATCTAGCAACACGTCAGAAGGTCGAAATGTCTCACCACAGTCTGAAATTTTAGATGCCATTATCATGCCAAACCAATCATCGAAAACAATCGTAGATGGTCCTCCAATTGACAAAGCCGTCGATGCACAAGCAGAAGTAATTGACCCTCATCAGTTATCAACCCAGGTCGAGCATTCGAGTCAACTTTTACAGACTACAAATGAACCTTCATCCCCGAAAGCCAAAGGAGATCTAAAACTTCGCATCGAAGTGAGCACTCAGCCGATCGACCTTGACGAGAAAGAATTTACAAAAGTGTCCACCCCAAAGGAATTAAATGATTCGGTTGACGAGCCTCGAAGACCCGTCGCAAAGAACCATCAAATTTTAACTGAGGACGAGGATCACAATGTCTCTGTTTCTATGACCCCACCAGAGAGTCAGTCATCAGAAAATCCGAGAAAATATGGCCCTTTCAACGACATCAAGATTTTGAACCAGCTTTTCTCGTCCAATGGCTCCAGAACCACCGACACCCACCGACAGCGTGGTACTTCTAGCATTTCACCAACATCAAGCGCTGATGCGGATACACATGAAATGGAAAAGAATTCCTTCCCGACAAACGCAAACCCGAAGCATGTATTGCCACGAGCCTCTTCATCGATCGAATTTGTTCCAAAAGAAGGTCCTGAAGAACTCCCGAATCAGAGCGAATCACCTACAGTTAACAAAGCATCCATGGAGGGCTTGAGTACTTCGTCGCAAAGTCCAAAGACTTCCAAACCTCAATCAGGTCATTCTATTTATGCTTCCTCATTAAATGTTCTAGAAAGAAGCCAGAAATCATCGGAGAAGAATGATTCTATTTTGACACGAACCCCCTTGCCTTCAGGTCCATTGCCGTCTGAGACCGGTCAGGAAACATCAACTCTATTGCCTATTATCGAGCAAGCTACAAAGACCATATCTGAAAATCCCAAGCCAAATGTATCATCTCAAATACCACCTCAGAATCCTGTCCAGGAAACTCAAGCAGCCTCCCGTGATTCATTTGTTTCGGGTTTCCAACCTATAAATCGACCGATATCTAGTCTTTCTACGCAATCTCCTCCTGCTCCCATATCTCATAGTCTCCCGGGTGTATATAAGCCATCGATTGCACCACAAGAACCTCGAGATCAACGATACAGCCAGCAGACGAAGGAGATGCCAAAACAGAGTGAAGCCATATTTTCGCAAAATATTGGACGGGAAATTGGCAGATCATCAGAGCCCTCCTGGACCAGGAACGTCCATCTTAACTCATATCCGGTGAACTCTCAGAATGGAGTTTATCCCATGGCCTTTGTCAGTAAACCGACAGCATCAAAAAACGACTTGTGGATGCAAGAAACCTCCAGAAAAAGGCAGTTGGAGCGAACAGATACCAAGCCTCGAAAAACAAAGTCAAGAAAGAAGTCAATGCCATGCGAAAAGCAGACTACGGTATCTGGTACTGTTCAATATCCACTGGCTTCATCAGCTCCCGCGACCCAAAATGCGACACCTTCTGCGTTGCAAACACAATCTCCGCGACAGCCTGATTTTGACCAAGAGCGCTCTCCCAAGCCGCCGCATCCAGAACTCATCAGTCATCTGAGAATTATGGACGAAAAGATGGGTACTAATTCCGGAGCATCTTATCAGCACCATATCAAGACAATGAACTCTCCGATAATCTCAAATCAGCCGCCGAATAACCATGGTCGGAATCTAGATCAAAATATGACGACCAACTACGATGCCAGGCAAGAGCAGAATATCTTGAGCCCCCTATTCTTGCAAGAACAGATGCATTCAAAGCGAAAGCGATCGTCGGAGGATTGGGGCAATACGAAGAGTCCTGTGGGTATGCATCATGCGACTTCTGTAGGGTCTCCAGCACAATCCCAGCGAACTTCCAGCATGTCGCAAAAACGACCGTCAATCCCCGAAAACATACAAATCTCTCGCATGGAGCAAGAGAGGTTTCAGCACGGTATGCAACAAAATAGAAGATTGCCCAATGCTGGGGAAAATAAACTTGATAGTCAGAATGGCAAGCAGGAAGTGTCCAACCTTCCTAAACTTGACATACAAATTAAAATCAACCCTGGGGCGATTACAGCTCGGAATCAAGTGCAGTTTAAGGAGAACGTTCAAACTAGAGCTGACATTGAAACTCGTAATCAGCGGCCAGAATCTGCGAATATGGGTCAGTCCGAATCAGTGCGTTTGCGCGAGACGGAAACGAGGCATGGGACTCCTATTAATAGTGGAACGGGTCGTAAAACTTCCAAAAGCCTTTCACTATTAAGTCCTCAGACATCACAATATCTCAAGGACCTACCGGGGACGCAAGATAGAGTTCATAATAATGTGCAACAGTCAAGCCCAGCACAAATCAACCAGCATCTCAACCAACAGTCACAAGGGCCGAAGACTAACAGCCAAATTCAAGCCAACTCCTCCTCTCCAGAACTGTATCGATCACAGGACCCATGGTGGAACTCGTTAGCTACTGATTATAACATCTCCACAATTCCCAAACAGCCATCAAGATACGTCCCGCAAACTAATACTAATATGTTACACAACCGCACGATGAGCAACACCACTCCAGTCCCAACAGTCGCAAGTGCGTCACAGGTCCAAATAGGAAGTCAAGAGCCTCTGCCTGAAACGAGACAAGTTGCACCCCAAGCAACAGAACGCCCGCATTCCACAGGAAGTCAGGCCTCCAAAGTATTTCACCAAATACCGGAGAGCCAGCGCGCCAAGTACCCTTTGACAAAGCCATCTAATACAGAACATTCACCGCCGCAAAGTTACTCTGTTAATGAAAATTCAACACAATCGTCACAGGCCCACCAGTTTAATCCATCTGGTCAAAGTGCGCAATTGCAATTTGGTGTTCGACCGTCACCTTCTCAAAGTGAAATCTCGAAGCAAGCTCCGATTAAGTCGTCGAACGAAAGCACACCATCACCAACCAATCAGTCTCATCAGCCTGTAACTCAACCTTTAAACCGACCTCTCACATCTTCGAAAAGCCAATACAATAACAACGTGACCAGTCAGCCCCCCAATACACAAACTTCCAACTTTCACCGTCAACTTCCCAACCAGCATCCTGTTCAGCCCACTATCATCCAAAGTCCAGTGCCACAGCATCAGTTTATTAATCGCCCCCCTGCTCAATTCTCCCCTGTACAGGCGTCGTTTCCCCGGAACCAATATACTGGCCCGTCTCCAACACAACAAGCTTCCACAGCTCCGAGTTCTTACAATACAGAGTATGCTGGACAACAGAGAGCAATTTCACAATACCAGTATCCAAAACGGCCACAGCAACCACAACAGCCAGCTGAGCCACAAAATACTACGACGCACCCACAGAAGAAAATTTACAACGAGCCGAATCCTCATGATCATACAAAAAGTAGATTGAATGGCGCGAGCCCTCAAACTATAATAGAATTAGTTAGTGCATCTCCAATGCAGTCCCCAACAATCCAGATCCCTGCATCTCAACCGTCATTAGCAACTACGATGTCTGCTATACTAAACCCTAAGCTTCCACCGACGCCGCCAACACCAGCTATCATTCCTACTACTGGTTCAGATTCCATGTCAAAGTATCCGCCTAGTACACAATCTAAGTCTGAAACCCCTCTGCGACAACAAGCCTCGGCCATTGTACCCACTCCCAAGTATAATAGCACTTCTCATCATTATCATCCAGCGACATATCCTCCACAACAGCAAACACCTATTGTAAACCCTACGCCTAAAATCGACACTGCCTCTCAATACTCAAACCCCACTCAATCCCTAGCTACGCCACAACAAACACCTACAACACCCCAAGGGGCGGGGCCGAAACTCGACTTCTATCTCCAACGCTCCAGTTCCTTGATTGACACTAGTATATCTTTCTCTTATCAATACATGGAATCACTCTCCTTATCGAATTTGTTCGCCTTTTTCTCTCAACGCTCCGGTATATCTCTAGAGAGATTAGACGATCTTACCTTCCGATGCATGTTTGGAGAGTATCAACAATTCGTGATTGGAAAGAATATGGGGGACGGAGAATGGAAGCGAGCGCGAAAGAGAATTTGGAGGAACTGGGACAGAGATGTTAAATCTGCGAAACAAAATGGAGATGATGAAGATGAGGAATTTTGGGAGGTTAACATTTTGATTGGGAGGTGTGCATAGATAGTTAGCTGGATTTCAACCTCGGTTGATTTTCTCCTTATTAGATAGATGTAAATACTGATTATAAAACCTGTAACTATATCCTTCATGCCGATGGTGTCTCAATTGTCTATTGTGAAGTCTTTCATTGAATAAATTACACGTGAGAGTATTTAGTGGGGATAAGTATTTAGTGGGGACAAATACTCTATTCAAGCACGAGTGGTCCACTGATTGCTTACCGTCAGATGTATGATGATATTGTCAAGGTTATCTTAATCTCATCTGAATGTGGATAGTTTGATCTGAGCCTATCTATGAAATCTCCCACATTTAGAATATTGCCTTCCACCTCTAAATCACACTCACTGCAAGCCACATCCAAGCCAAAGTCAGCAATTTTACGCCTCCGGCAGCCTTCCCGAGGTTGATGTATTGAAAAACCGAAGGGTAAGACTTGCATCCGAAATGCAATTTAGCCGACAAACGTTGATGTAACGGGGTCTACAGCCGTTAGCCGAACTCCGTCATTATGTTATACCGTTACATCGAAGGATTACGAAATAAATTAAAATGTTGGTGATTTAATATTCTGCGCCTCTTCAAGATCTCAGCGTACATCAAACCAACAGTTGATGCCGAGCAGCATGAAAATATGACGAATCCATCGTCTGCCTGACGAACAATACGCGTAAAGGCAACCTTATCCGGAAATGGTGTGTAACACGTACAGGACCAATATATGTATATGCACGATTCCTGGTTCGCGTGATCATTTTACCAACCAACTGTTGGATTTCATATGCGGAACGAAGAAAACAGATAGTTATGAGTGGAAGAGATTTTTATGCAAATTTCAGACGAATCCAAGGAATTATCAAGTTTGGTAACGTGAGTAATTGGATTGAAGTGTGTGTGGAAGGTCACATCGATTTGAATGAAATTGTGTGTGCGTGCGTATGTCTGCCAGGGGAAAGAGGCGAATACGAATTGACAATATGTCGGTATTCATGAAGATTGCAGGGAAGGATATCTCAATATAACCACTTTGCAAGATGCATGACTCAACCATGTAATATTTGAGCATACCTATTTATAAGAGCCTTCCAGTTGAGGAGTGTCAAGATAATCATATCGTTGATCAGATTGGCTTAAGAGAATTTGAATTTTCTCGGCTATGCATTGATTCTATGGTTGCGGGTTAGACTTGCTGCTGTTGAGAAAAAATATGGCTAGTCTTCACGCAGTGTAACCAGATGAGTAGAGTTCATTCTCAAATGATTCTACATGTGATAGCTATGATTTCAGAGATATTCGATCGAATCTACCAACAACGGGGGATTATTTAATAATATGGGACGATCCTACCGCCACGTTTCTCAAATTGCAGAACTGGCTTGAGTTTTAGTAAACTGCTTTGTATTTAACATATCAATTTACTGGAATACTGCTTAGTAGCCTGGCAAGGGGCTCAGAGGAAGAATAAGTTGATTCAATCAGGACTAACACGTGTTCAAGAGTCTTCTTTTGAGTTCTATCTTCGAATCAGAACAGAATGGCAATGTTCCACTTCCAGATTTCCTCTAAACTTTCAGCTAATACTGTACATACTTGAGTTGGAGGATACTCCCCTACACTTAAGAAATCTTCTAGGCTTTCGCTTTTTTAATAGGACAATATGACGATAATTCTATAACGAATGCCCCGAGAAGTAGGCAAATAAGAAGAGAAGAGAACAATTAAGACTCCGAGGTCCTGCAATTCTCTTTTCAAATCGCTCTATTGATCTATATGTAGATGTTGGAGTAGCTGGAAGGAAATCGCAAGCTGGAATTTTCATGGTAGAGCCAAAGTTCATTAAGAATATTTATTCAATAAACAAATCTCTTCTTGATAAAGACTCCATGGAAACACGTTTCCCATCAAGTCAACATTACAATGCTCGAGTGTGTATCCTCTCAGTCAATATCCTACAGACCCTGCTCTTCAACTTCGTACCATTAAGCCATTGTATCTTACTATACTTCCACAGATCTCTGATGATCTCTACTACATTCTCCCACTTTCTCTCATCTTCCTTCATCACTGTCTCCAGCCGATCATCACCTAGTAAAATTGTGAATTTCAACCCGTCAACTTTATGGATATTGACACCTGACCTCTGAGCAAAAAGCGAAATAAAGGATGATAGCGAAAAATCCTCGAGGTTTTTGATATTGACTTTCAGAGGATTCTCATAGTCGAAGTTTTGCTTCGACAGAAAAATGAAGTTTATGTCGTTCGAGAAAGTGGCAAGTGGAAGATCATCCTCGGATGTTGGCTCGCCTGCCATTTGAGTTATGGGTTGAAGTGGTGTAGTGAACAGCGGAGAGAGCCTAGGGTCTGTGGAGACTGGTCGAGATTGCAAGGGAAAATGATTAGAAAATGGTGAGTGGGATGACAGGAATTCGCTGCGTGGATTTAAAGCTGGATTGGGATCTGGTTTGATTGTAGCTCCGCTTACTATAGCTGTAGTACTGATTGGTCCCGTCAAATTCAACTTGGGGTTGCTCATCTCAGGATTGCACATGGTGGTGGGAGTTTTTGCTGCCGTCGCATGTGCCAAATCGTCCTGAATTTTAAACTGATTAGAATGGTTCACTATGATAATGAATCAATATCTTACTTCAAGAAATTGAGAAGTTCTCCCAAACTGATATGAGCTATGGCGCTGCATAATGCCTATTTCACCTTGAGATTTCCCGTTCGAGTTACTTTGATTTCCATCTACCCCTTTGTCTTTTTCCTTCATGATGGAAGATTGATCTTGATTGAATGTTGAAAGTCTTCGACGCTTTGCTGCGGTAGTTTCTTCATCCGCATAACCACTTAGTGATGTTGATTGGAAAGTTCTTCTTCGTGATAGATCCATCGGAACTTTGGAATTTGACGAGCGTTGTTGGCATTTGGTTGTAAACTCATTGCGATCTGGAGACACAGACATTTCGTAAACATCTCGACGTTGTGTGGTTGATGACTCGACCTCTTCCCTGGCTTCCTCGGAAGGCTGGTCCCAAATGGTCAATCTCTGATCCCATGCTGCGTCCAATTCCTGTGTTCGTGATATTTTGTTGCTACTGCGATTGCGGAACAACAATCTCTCACCAAGTAATGCATCAGCCAACTCTCCTACCCGGGTTTGAAGACGACCTTTTAACGTCTTGTAATGTATCTTGTTTGCAATTACTGGCTCTTCCTTGAAGAGGCGAACAAAATTCATCAGACTCATGTTCTGATCTGAATTGTAATACAAGAATCCATGCATAAATCTGAGAATATATGAATCAGGCTCAAGGCCTCCTTGGGCTACCCAGGAGAATTCCTCATTTTCCAACCATTGTGGCGAAATAAATTCAGCCATCATCTTCTTGTCATCTATTGGCTTTATGTGCCTTATATGAGCGTTGCATTTTTCTTGATGACTGGTATTCCTTGTTTAAAACAACGATTAGCTCAAATATACTTCAAAATTTCCACTGGGAGATTGCCGAGTTACCTTTTGACATACTTCAGTTCTCTCAATTTACTCTCGTCAATGTTTCGCCTGTTCGAGCTCATTGCTGGAGATCCAGCGATAGTACTAGAAAATTTGCCTGCTTTTGGACATTCTTGGCCAGCCTTTAGTTGTTGATTTCGCATTGACAGACCTTGATGCCCCAGAGTGACCAAGGGTTCGTCGTCGGAATCTAGGTCTCGTCCACCGCCCAGAGTGTTTTGTGGTGCTTCCTATCGAAGCATTAGTCAAACAATAGATGAGCAACAAAACTTACACTGGTTGCAAAAACCTTTTGCCGAAGATTCCTGAAAAAGTAGTGCATCTTCAATGCAAAAATGTGGGTAAGTAACTTCAAAATTCTAGCCATAAATCGTTTAGTCGTCGTTACCATACTAAAGAAATCGCAAGACGCTCACTTCATCTTATCATTTTCCCAAACAAGTCGGCGACGATGATTGCTAGCTCCAAAATCTGGCCATAGAAATTGAACTGTTTCCTTGTCTGCGCAAAAGGATTCTGCCAATTTTTGCGCCTCCGGGTGCTCCTTCGACATGACTTTTAATGGTGTAATGTTTAAAGCTTTCGTGAAGACGCTGATCTTCTTCTTTAATTCCGAGTCAGCAACAGGGTAAAATCCTAAAGATCTGTATAAATCCCGGATCCTTTTATCTTTGCCTCTTGATGCTGTCTTGCTCCTGCTCCTCTTCTTAGAAAGTATAGATTGTGCTTGCAATCTTGACGACATCGTCAGCGATATTAATGATTCAAGGCTTCCGAAAAGACAAAGAAAAAAATGAACAGGTTGATGCAAGTGATCAAAAGATCTGAACGAAAGTGTTGAAGGGATAATGCCAGGCCCTTTTATAACTTCTGGATTATGCTCTCCAATTTAGCGAGGAGTCACGATACTATAAGCACGTTTTAGTGATAGTATGTAACAAGGATTATAAACAAAAAAAATAGATTTAATAGCTTTCTTACTGGATCCAGGTGTTTCTTGTGAATAGTTTGATATATTATGCAACTAAATTGATCTAAGTTATATGATTCATTGGTATCTAGAAAGTTCAATAGGCCGATTGTATTCTTGACGAATCTGCCTTACTTGGCAAGCTAAGAATAATTAATGGTCTGCTTCTTCCGGTTGAGACAAAATTTCTCTGGAAGATTTTTACTCTGTTATTGATGTGTTTCCTGTCAAATAATTAGACCATTGAATAAAATATCTTATGTATAAAGAGGAGTGATACGAAATATGTAACCAGAGGACGGGACACGCTAGCAGCTATTTACATGCACGATGAGGGCCTCATATCTAGAATTACAATTACATACCGTCATCTAATTCAATGGATCGAAGCAATAGAAATAAAAAAAATGATGAAAATTGAAGATCGAGATTCTAGATAGTGATCTGTGATATTCTTGAGAATGAATAAACTTAAATAATGGGAAAGTGTCTAAATGCTAAAAGAGATATTTTCGG